ACTCAGGATTGCTATGCCGTTGATTTCGACACAAACACCAACCCGAAGTGCTGGGTCCAAACTTCTCCTTCGGTTGTTCCGGATGTCAGAAACTTGTTTCCAATGGAGACCGTGTCACCAACTACATTCTGAACAAGAGCTGCAAAAAATAATGAATGAAATTAATAATTTAATTAACTCTCTATCAATTGAATATTTAAGAACTACCTTAGAAATTAAACGGTTAACAGGTTTTCAATTAATTAATTAATTTATTAATTTTTTGAAAGTACAAATTAATAAAAACATTCTTTAAAACACTTAGTTGTAGTTTATTCTCAATTTCAAATTAGAAAATCAGTAAATAAATAAATAAATATCCCAAAAAGTATGAGCAAATAAATTTAATCGATACAAAGTTAATTGCAAAATCGCAACGCATTTTATCACCAGAAAATTTTTTAATTCACTTTCACTAAGCTATTATTAAATTTTTCAATTAGCATTGTTTACATCAAAACAAATGACATTGACATTGACATTGCAAGGGGCTGCTCGCCTTGCTACCCTTGCTTACTTGCCAGGGCCGTCCCAGCGAACCCATTTTAAGATGGAACATTTCCAAGCACTCCTTAATATAAAACAATTGAAAACAACATTAGTAAGAACTTTGAACAACAATATAAATCTAGATAAAATATAATGGGAATATTTTATTCTAACCACCCATTCATTAAAGCGCATTCGTAACAGCGTACAAATTGTTAGTTAAAATGAAAGATTTAATGTAGAAGACTAAATAAATAAAAAAGTGTTTCTTTTGTATAAAATAAATCGCTAAGGTGCATAAATTTCAGTCAAGGTGAATAAATAAGTGATTTTTAATTCACATTTTAAAGTTTCTACTCTACTGCTGTCCATGCAACGACTCTTCATCGTCTCTGATTTGTCAAACAACGACGGAATACATAGGAACAAGATTTTAACAGAAATCATATGAAAACATAAGTTTTCATCATTTTAATAACATTTTACTGCAA